GCCCGAAGGGCCGGAGTTATACGCGAGCCCGAAGGGCCGGAGTTATACGCGAACCCGAAGGGCCGGAGTTATACGCGAGCCCGAAGGGCTAGAGTTATTTCAATCACGGGGCCTACTTTATAATTCTATTGGTCAGCGGATAATTTCGAGCTAATTAAAAACCGGGAGTATTTAAAATGCGATTTTTAGCGTCCGATCAAAGAGTCGAGAATATTCAAAAACTTTAGTTTTATCAAATTGGCTTTGGAATGTTGGTTTTCTTAAGATTTTTACATTTTTCAGAAAACGGTGGTTTTTGCATACATATACTACTTTATCATTGTCTTTGTCTTACTCACTATAATCAATAAGGAAACCTTGTAATGTCATTTTCATTAAAATTAAACTAAAAGCAAGTTTCCTATGATTTATTTGGGGAATTTTAATTATTATAATCATTATTAATTAATTATTAAATTGAATTTTAAACAAAAAACCCTTTTAAAATGTTATTTTTGTTTGAGAAAAGTTTTTGGATTAATTTTTTATTTTTGTTTTCCGAAATGAGATGTGGCAACGTTGCTTTTAGTTGGCCATTTTGAAGTGACGCCTTGTAATTTTTTGCCAGTTTTTCCTCGAATTTTTTACTTTTCCGGGGCTTTTCAATGGAAAAAGGCAATTTAACATACGAGGCTTTGAAAGGACATAAATAACAAAATCCCATTTACAATGGTTTTTTTAAAAGTTTTGATGTGGCAACACCGTTTGTACCAACTTCAAATAGGTTTTGTAATAAATGTCATTTGCCAGTTTTGACAGTCGGCAATTTTTACTTGACGTGTTCACATTTCTATCCAGTTTTTCCTCGAATTTTCCGCTTTTCCAAGCCGTTTTCAGTCAAGAAAACCGATTTGAAATACGAGGCTTTGGATTTCCTACATTTTGTGCTAAAAATTCCCAGTTTTCCAATGGGGTAAGTGACAAAAACTCAAATTTCATTAAGTAGGCTTTAAAATGTCATTTTTAGACGTTTTTCTTTGAATTTGTCCGCTTTTCCAGGGCTTTTCTGGTCGGAAAAACCGATTTAAAGTACGAGACTTTGAGTTTTCTTCATTTTCCACCAAAAATTTTCAGTGTTTTAACGGAGTAAGTGAGAAAAACTTTAGTTTTATCAAGTAGGTTTTGAAACGTCATTTTCGTTGTTTTTTTTTTGGAATTTTTTATTTAAGGTTTTTGGGGTCCGGGAATCGTTTTCTATCACTTTTTTTCTCGAAATTCGCAAAATAAAAAAAAAATTTGACGTTGACAGCTGTCAATTTTTTTTGACACAAATCGATAGTTAGCGTCGCGAAACTGCCTTGTACCGGGGTTTGATTTTCGTAGCTTTTATAGTAGAGCGGAGAAAAAGTCGAACATGTGTCAAATTTGACAGATGACATTTGTCGATATTGCCAAAGCGTCGTGCGACAAAAGTTTTATCCAAACGAACCCGTTCATTGTTAACTGATTTTTCATACTCCGGCCCTTCGGGCCGTAATCTTTGAAACAAAAAGACGCCATTTTATATCGACTGTCAAAAAACCCAAGGTTTGAAATTTCAATTTTTTGACGTTTGTTGTATCATGAGCAGTGTTGCCATATGTTTTTCTTTCAAATCTCGAGCTCGAAGGGCCGAAATTATAGATTATTTTAAAGCCAATCAAGAGCCGGGAATAAACAAAATTCGAATCCCCAAACCAATCAGGAGCCGGGAAAATTCAAAAATTTGAATTCCAAACCCGAAGGGAAATTGAATTTTTTGTACCAACTGGTGCTACATGTTGTTACATAAATCTCACCCTAAAACCCACTAAAAAACGACCTTTGTTTTTTGGAAAAAACAAAATATTTTTTTTTGAGATTGACAGCTGTCAAAATTTTAATGGGCATATAGATTTAGCCTTGGCAAATACGTAGGAAGTACCATTTTTTTTTTTTTAACATATGTCAAAAAAGACGTTCGGCGTTGCCAGGCGGTTGGTTTTTGATATAATATCGATGAAACTTCTTATTTTAGGGTTTTTGGAGCCTAGGGATCGTTTTCTGACATTTGTTTTTTGAAAAAAAGAAAAGGTAAAAATTTTTGACATTGACAGTCAAAATTTAAAAAAAAAAAAACTACATGGGCATATAGATTTAGCCTCGGCGAATACGTAAAAAGTAGCCGAACAGGGCCAATTTTTTGACGTTTGTTGTATTATAAGCAGTGTTGCCATATGTTTTTTTTTCGAATCTCGATTCTGGAAGGCTGAAGTTATCTTAATTATGAGCTCAAAGGGTCGAGGTTATACGAGTCCGAAGGGCCGGAATCATGCGAACCCGAAGGGCCGGAGTTATACGAACCCGTTCATTGTCAACTGATTTTAATACTTCGGCTCTTCGGATCGTAATCTTTGAAACAAAAAGACGCCATTTTATATCGACTGTCAAAAAAAACCAAGGCCTACTTTGATATTTCAATTATTTGACGTTTGTTATATCATGAGCGAGCAGCGTTGCCATATGTTTTTATCAAATCTCGATTTATAGGTTATTTTAAACCCAATCATTGACATTTCTGAAAAATATTTCCTTTAAAATTCCCAAATAACCTTTGGAATCCCCAAAAATTTATTAAAATCTCAGAATTCCATAATTTAGTGCAATTTCGGTAGAATAATTATGTTATTCTGAAAAAGGAATTAGATGTGAAATTTTTGCGAAGTTTCCATAGAATTCACATTAAATTTTAATTCCTCTCGAATTACTTGAAATTTCAGTGAAATTCTGATCGAATTACATGAAATCCTAAATGAATTTTAAACAATTACATGAAATTACACTGAAATTCCCAACATGAAATTTCAGTTTTTACTGAATTTTAGTAATGCCGAGGAATTTCCAACTAAAAACATGGAATTTCGGTGATATTCCGAAAAATTAACATGAAATTTCAATATATTTCGATGAATTTTTAAGAAATTACTTGAAACTTCATTAATATTTCCAGAAATTCCTGGCTATTGAAAAAGAATTTCAGTGAAATTCCGAAAAATTCTTATGAAAATAACGAGGAAAATAAATTAAATTTTGAAAATTCCTTGAAGTTTCATTGGACTTTCGAGAAATTTTCGGTTATGAACGTGGATATTTTCATAAAATTTTAGTGAATTCCGAGAAATTTTTAAGAAATTACATGAAATGTCAATGAAATTCCAAAGAATTTTATGAAAATTTTGTGGAATTCCAGGATATTTCAGTGGTAAAATTTTGAGGAATTTTAGTAAAATTAAAAAAAATAAATATGGAATTTTGAAATTGAAATCTTAATGGAATTCCGAGGAATTTCATGAAATCCTATACTGTAATTAGCCTCCTCACTTGAAATAGTCACGAGCCGCCACTGATCCTACGACCTACGTGTCTAGAAGCCTAGTCTTGTCTGTTTAATTAATTCTACTTATGTTAATTTCTGGAGCCCGAGCCCCCATGGTAATTTCGAAATCATCTTTCTTCAATAAACACGATTGAAAAAAGATAAATTAGATCAGCTAATGATCGGGTTAATCCTCGGGTTAATCGGATCAGCGTAATCCATACGTTCCAAAGTGAAAAATTGGCGCGAATTTTAAAATGCACAGAATATCTGATCTTTGTAATGCCAATTACTGTCCTTATCGACGAAATTTAATGCCGTAGCGGTACTCTCTAGCAATCAATCTCTGTCAAATAAATGCTCTGATTGGTTAATTTCTTCAAAATCGACCTATCAGAGCTAAGATAGTTGACTTTTGACCGAGTACCATCCCTTTAATGATCCTACTATAGTACTTGCTAAATGATTAATGAATTCTTTTGGCCTAATGAATCTCAACTAATTTATTTACTTAGAGAAAGTTATCTAATCAGCAGGGGCGGCTTCTCAATAAGTGCGCTCGTGCGCGCGCACTGCCTCCAAAAACCAAGCAAGAAAATAAAATTAAAATTTTGGAAAGAAAAGAAACTTCAATTAAAAAATACCTACCCAATTTTCTAAATTAGGATAAATATCTACTCATTTTTCTATTTTTAAATTCGCACGAACGGAACGAAAGCGCGCCCTGCGCCTGTCTTGTATATTTTTTTCTCCCGCTTGGTTGTGCTGGTGGTCCGGGTGGTCCGTGTGGAATCGTTCGGCGCTCTAGGTAAATGTGTTTTCTGGCTGTGCGATTGATCGGGAATATACGGTAAGTCGCCCGATGAAAGGGATGCGCCGTGCGCTATTTGAATACACACTTCCAATGTTGTTTCCACTCAATCGAGAATATTTCGATGTTTTTTCACCATTTTGGCGGTTTGACAACTTTGTTGTTTTTTTTAAATTATAAAATATAAATTTCAATATCAATTATGTATTATGGCTAGAATACAAACATTCAAGCCTCATTTAAATACATATATTTTTGTTTTCGATAATTTTTCCTAAAGTAAAAAAGAAAAAAAATCAACATACAAAATAAATGTAAAACAGGACGTGGCACCTCCAAAAAATTTTCCAAGAGCGCACAACCACACTAGGTTGCCACTGGCCGCCACTGCTAATCAGGTAGTTCGTGACAATCTGAAATCAAAGCTAGAAACAGGTAGACATACCGATTAAATCCTTGAACTGTAACGTGCGATTATAAAGTATTAATATAACAATAATTAAAGCTTTTCCTATACAAATATAGTCATTGAAACTTTTATCTTCACTAGGTACTATGCAAACAAACAATTTGTTACTCGAATTATTGTTGTTTTTAATTAACAATAAATTATATATTATTGATATAGGAAATAAATCGATAAAAAAAATAAAGTGTCGGAACTACCCCCCGGAAGTCCCGGAACCGGAAATGCGTCGATACTTCGAAACATAAACAAACTTTGACAGCTTTTTCTCCCTCTAAAAATTCAAGGGGGTGGATACCTACCCTAACCTAAGAAAACCCTTAATAATTAGGGGTTGTTGGTGGACTCACCCTGTTATTGGCCGTATCGTTGTCCGTCCGCTGCCTTTTCGCGTGAGGTCCGTCGCCGTTGAACGCCATTTTGTACCCCGAAAACTTCAATTTTACTTTAGAGTCACTTTTTCGCCTCAATATTTTTTTCAGTCCGAAATGTTCTCAACTGGCCTGTGCTTCCTCTAGCAAGGCGCGCGCAAAACTAAAACCAAACGAAACCGGCCCCTCACGGAGCTGCTGGAGCTGAGTTTGTCGATTTTCCTTTTTGAATTTCGGACGATTTTTCCGCGACTTTCCCGACCTCTTGCGATAAGATAACACGGTTTTGAATTTCAAAGTTGCCGTGGAAACCTGCTTAACAATCAAACCATACATGGCGCCATCTATACAATTTAGTTGGACTTATTATATTTCTATTAGCAATTAAAGCAAAAATTAAGTAGAATTATTGATAAAATTAATTGTTTATTATTTAATTAGTTAGTTTATTAATTAATTTGAAGGTTTTTAAACAAAACTAAACCAGAAATTATATTTTTTAATGTAGAAACCTGTAATGTCGATAAAAAATTATGTCACCGATAATTTTGGTTGGCACATGCGCATTTCAAATCTCCAGCCTGGCTGTCAAGCAAGTGCCGTATAATTATTCCTGTCATCGTTGTTGAAAAATCCTTTACACACACACACAAAAAAATAAGAAAATCAAGTTTTTTTTTTCCTCCTCAGTGTTTTTCGTGGATATTTCTAGTGTCCGGAATTCGAGAAGATGCTGAAGCAAGAGCAGGTGCTCCAGATCGAGCCCCAAAACGAGCTCAAGTTCGTAGGTGAGGCCAAATTGAATCGTATTTTTCCTATAATAAATTTTCGCAGGGGGTTTTCGCTTTTCCGGCAAGGCAATTTTCACGTTATAGAGTCGTAATAGATTCTATCGATAATCGTTAAAACCCCTAAAGTGCATACTTAGAATATTTATTCCCAATTTTGTCTCGTTTGCAAATCGGTGATAAGGTTTTTAATTCGATAATATTTGAATTAATTATGCAGCAAAGGCAAAGTCCTTTAGTGGTAGTTGTACCTGGCTAATTGCAAATTTTGCCTTGAACTCGTTTAAAATAATTTAATTTTTAAGTTAAAATGCCTTTAAAAATATCCACTTGATTCACAGCGAAGCCCAGCCAGGGTTACAAAATTATGTACATTATATTCTTCTATTACTTTTCTACAGTATTACCTCTTAAATTTGAACACCTTACCTCTGACAATATAGTTCAATACATAATATAAATATTAACTAGGTATATTTTTAGCTATAGTTCTCACTCTCTTTATTTAGCATTTTATGTATATGTATGGTTTCCCCCCACTTTCCAAACTGGAGGGCCTGCCTGGATTCTACTGTTCACCCTAGTTCATAAGGAATGTTTATTTATTTTAATTTTTCCAATAGGATTTATAGATATAGGGTATAGGTACAATACATTATATATTTGAATTAATCAATGTGCTCAGCATCTAAGTATGTAAATTTCTTGACATCTGAATTTGCCATTAACAAAAAGGATTTTTGATCTAGGTACATAGGTATATTTGGGTTGGTTTCGAATGGAGAAAACTAGTAGGTACTTACTTAAACTATTACTTACCCTGGAAAAATATAGTTGAAAGTTTAAAATTTCAATCTGCTAAATCTGTTTCTATCTTATTCTAGAAAACTCTATATTGAGTCATTCCTAAAATATGATAGTAGTACAGTGGAAATTATTGCAATTGGCACACACTATATAAATATCCCTCGTAATGTGTCAAATCTGACATACAGTAATAGCAAAATGCTGCACTAAAAAGATTTATTGGTTAGAATTTTGACTTAATACTAGGGATTTTAAAGAATGTGTGCCAATTGCAATGATTCCGACTGTACCTACTTCATTTAAAATCTTAAGAAATAGATAAAAGTCTTATTTTTGTTCCTTTTCTTTCCTGGTATTTTCAATCTTTGATATCCTTTGATTTCAAGAGCAATTTAGGGCACTATTCTAGAACTTCCTTCTAAAAATTACTAGAGGTATGAAGTGTTGGTCACAAGATATTCAAGTGTATAAGAGATATCTTGGCAAAAGATATCCACAGATTTCCCTCTATTTTTTCAGATAATTCATAGAATATTAGCACAAGTGCACAGTGCACATCTAGAACACAACTCCCAAGGTCTCCTCCTTGAAACAACATGTGCATTTTCTCTTGATCTATTACTATAGTAAGACATAATATTTTTATTTTAGTGGAAAACCTGATAACATGATATTCTCTCAAATATTCTCAATCAATAGAAAATTGAATTCTGAACATGTGCACGGTCTCACTCAGTACCTAAGGTTTCTCCAGATATCCCTTACATGTCCCATAGATCTCCTCAGAATTCCTTCAGATTTTCCTGAATATCTCCCAAGATTAGCATAATGTCATTGGTTGGCATACACAAAAATCAAGTTGAAAACCCAGTGGGTTTTTTACACAAAAACCCACCATCAATATTGGAGGACTTTTTGTGTCAAAACCCTAAAAAAAATATGAGCAAATCATAGAATCTGATAGTTAAGGTTTAAAGTCAGGCCTATAGTTTATTACAGCAACGCGAGATGTCAATGCTGTCGCCCCTATAGTGTGCCCTAACTTGACTGTCAAAAAAAAATAGAAATCTGCATTTGGTTAAATTATGTGATGGAACGTTTTTTCTTTTTTTGGCGGAAATTCGAAGTATTATTCTGTTTTACCTAAACAGGGTTGTAGTTTCGACCAACGCAAATAATTTTGAACGTTCATCCGTCGGATTTTTTTCTAAACAGTGTAGCTACAGGCGTATTTCCAAGTATGTTTGCAGCAGCGAGAAAACTACAAGTTCAAAAAATTTGAAAAAAATATATGTCGCGTAGAATTGCAATAGTAGTTCGTAATAAAAATAATGGGAAACTTCATCTATTCGTTTTGAAATAAATGGTGGAAAACTACTTTTTTTCAGTATTTGCAATGTAACTCAAAAATGGCGAGTCAAATTTGCTTAAAAAAATTATGGATTAAAGTATATCGATAACCATAAAACTCATATTTTTTTTGGAATTTTTGAACACAAGGTTCAGAAAATAGGAGTTGACTTTAAACCTTAAAATGCTGAAAAACTCCATGTTTGTCATCTGAGTTGTACTTTACCTCTAAATTTGACAATAAAGATTAGCCCAAAGGGTCAACCTGTCTGGCAAGTGGTAACTTGGTAGAGACGAAAGGGGGAAGAAAAGTGGGGTGTAACCTAACAATATTCACTGACACCGCCGAGGACACCGCCTGATGACAACCATGTCTTTGGGTTCAGTCGAGGGTTCAGTGGCACCGAAAACACCAAGGAAATGAACCAATAAAATTATTAGAATTTTTTTTGTAAGTTTCGCCAATAACCACGCCACTGTGCTGTCGTTCAGGCTCTAACCTTAGCCTCTAACCAATAGAATCATGCCTCTGAATAATCACGCCTCTCCACATGCTTCATTTCGCAATGCTGCCGGATTTTATTCTATTTCAAAATGCTACACATACCCATATTGCAAAAAAAATATGTCACCAACTTGTTTATTATCGTTTGTGTCAAGTTTGGCAAAGCAGCAAATTCTATTGCAGTTCGCCGTTTGGCTAGCCAGACAATACCTATACAGGGTGTCCCACTTTACACACCTTATGGAGAACTAAAAAGCGGATCATTTTGAAAATTTGGCAACCGGGATAAATGACCGTGATCTACACTTTGAAAATATTTTTGTTTATGCGGTGTTGCCGCTTCTACTCTAAACCAGTGGCAACATCGCTATTTTAAATGAAACACCCGGTATTTAATTGCATATTTAGATTCTACATAAAGTTCTGAGCAGATTTCATGTGATATACCCTACACCTAAGTTCAACTGTTTTGGAAATATTGACAGTTGAAAATTGACTTTTTGCAACTTTGACAGGCTGTAAAACCTAAACGGTTAATTTTAGAGAAAAACCGATTTTACATTCCTATCTTAGATTTTTATAAACTATCATTTGACACCAATTTTGAATTAAAAATTCCAATTAAATTTAATCTCCGATTAAATTCAAAGTTGGTGTCAAATGATAGTTTACGAAAATCTAAGATAGGAATGTAAGATCGGTTTTCCTCTGAAATTCACCCTTTAAATCATACAGCCTGTCAAAGTTGCAAAAAGTCAATTTTCAACTGTCAATATTTCCAAAACAGATGAACTTAGGTATAGGGTATATCACATAAAATCTGCTCAGAATTTTACGTAGGATTCAAATATGCAATCACATACAGGGTGTTCCATTTAAAATAGCGATGTTGCCACTGGTTTAGAGTAAAAGCGGCAACACCGCACAAACAAAAATATTTTTAAAGTGTAGATTATGGTCGTTTATCCCGGTTCCCAAATTTTCAAAATGATCCGCTTTTTAGTTCTCTATAAACGTCTAATACGCCATCCGCCGTGGGACACCCTGTATGCTTACAAATGTATAATTGGTGACATATTTTTTTTTGCAATATGGGCCGTGTAGTATTTTGAAATAGGAAAAAATCCGGCAACATTACGAAAGGAAGGAAGCGGAGAGGCATGATTATTCAGAGGCATGATTCTATTGGTTAGAGCCTGAACGACAGCACCAGTGGCGTGGTTATTCGTGAAATTCAAGAATTTTTTTCCTAATAATTTTTTGGTTAATTTCCTTGGTGTTTTCGGTGCCACTAAACCCAAAGACATGGTTGTCATCAGGCGGTGTCAGTGAATATTCTTAGGTTACGCCCCACTTTTCTTTCCCCTTTCGTCTCAACAAAGTTACCACTTGCCAAACTATACAATGACTTCCATATTTGGCAATCACTAATCAATGAATCTCATGTAGGTATTCCTATCCCAAGAATTGCGACTGATTTTCAATGATTTTCAAATATTTTTGTATGATTACCAGGTGACTTCCATTTTTTCTGGGGATTTCAATATCATTCCCAATTGCTTTCCTTGATGATTTTTTGCAATCATCCAATTTCCAGCTGATTTTATTACAAAAATAATGTCTAATTGTTGAGCATCACATTGATATGTCCATAATAAACAGTCTTTTCTTTTATAAAAACACGTTTCCACTGAAAATTTGGCAACTTCTGTATTTGCAATTCTTCCAAAAGTTAGCACTGATCTTGTTGTAGGTATAAATAGTTTTTGAGCCCTATATACCATTGCGTGTCTACACTGCATAATATGAATCCAGAATAATGGATATTTCTAGGATTTCACTACGATGTTCATCCGAATCAGAGACATCTTCAGTTAGGGTTTCACTCTACAAACCTATTTCTGATTCGGATGTGCTATCGTCTCTGCTTCTCGCCCTTCCTAGTATTTATTCTACTTTCCCTTTTCAAGTTCCTATTGCCTTGGATTTTTTTCTCAGGGACATTCCCATTTCTCTTGATACTTGATCAACAAATGTCCCCGCTTCTCTGAAAAGAACCATATTGAATAATCTCTCAATTGTAGCAAATCACAATTGCTAAACCCTGATGTGTGTAGAAATTCTTTGTCTTCTTCTAGCAAGTCAAATTCAAGAGATGTTCCAAAATTCATGTTTTCATGTGTTTGATCCACAACATTGTCATACTTTAGGTCTGTTATCACAGAAATCACAACCAGTGAATTTCATTGATTGAAAATGGTAAGAAAATTGATTGTTGGCGATTTGCACCAATCAAAAACGCTCTCACTGGTTTGTGATTTCTGTGAGAACAGACCTA